GTGACCGCTACAGATTCTGTGTGCAGCTAGGGCCTGTTGAGGTATGCCCTGGGTTTCTGTAGTTTTGCTGTTTGCTGTGTTTGTCTTGCTTTTCTATATATCAATGTGAACTCTTAAAGTGGCTTTGTGGCCTCTTGTTTGTGCTCAGAGTGCGTGGTGACTTTGAGCGCCACCCTGAGCCTTGTTTTGTTGCTTGCTCTTGACTAGTCTTGAGACCATTTGTGTTTCTAGCTCTCTCTTGCTGTCCCTGAATTAGCCTATGGGGGTGTGTCAAATAACAAATATTCATGTTAGTCTACAGTGAGGCACATACTAGAGAGGATACACAACTTTCTCGGCATTCCTATTTTTACCTTGTTTCCTACTAGTCGAACCATTACGCTAGCTTACTCTTGAGATCTTAAAATCATCTTGCTCTCTTTCAACTATTTTAACAAGGTTATTACAAGCTTCGTTGTCTCTCTTACAACTTGGCTTGACTTATACTATCCACTACGATTCCCGGTTATGTCGACAAATTAGATATTTGAAATTCGAGTGCATGTTTTGTGTTTAGGGTTTAAGTTGCATTTCTCTCTAAGTCCAATATCCTAGAACTTCTTTACAAGCATTAATGCCAACAATAAAGCCTACCTAGTCAGATTCCAAATCACTCAATAAGGTTACGGTGCCACTCACATCTACCCCATCATTATCATCATCATCATCATCATCATCCTCACTATCGCTCACTACCTTTGCCCTGGCCTTCTTCCTGAATTGCTTCTCTGCAAGTAGTGTTGCCTCATCATCTGAAGCTATTGCGATATAAAAAAGGGGGATCGTACGTATGATCACCTCAGGAATGTTCGCACAATGTGAATTGCAGCGGAAGTAATGACCTCAGATCAGAGTAAATATTAAACAATTGAAGTGATTATAATAAGGGCGGGCATGTGTTTATATACTAATACAAAGGGAAAATGAAACATCCTAGCTAGCCATTTACTCTAAGGGGTACATTTTCTTATTAGAGTGAAACACAACCGTGCGACACAGGAAACTAGTTACAAACCTGTTCCCGCCAAATCGTTCTTGTTGCAACTGCCAAATGCTTCTGCGCAGACGGTCCAGATACTTCAAACCCTACGCGATGTTTGGCGTCGTTCTGACCTTTCACATTGATACTCGCTTTTGTACTCTTTGCTTGCTACTGATAGGAATGCTCAGTGTTTCTTATTTCACTATTAGCAACACTCCCCTTTATTCCTGATCGTAGCAAGTATTGACTCGCTTTACCATTCCGTTGAAATCGAAACATTGCTGACACTTCCGACGAGGCACTCGCTTTGCAATGAAGTCGGTTGCCATGTAACTTGGTGGGCAATAGGATAGATCAATATTGACCTTGTCAAATTCGTCCTTAACAAAGAAATACCGCAGCGCGATGTGCTCGGTGCGGTTGACAAATTCTGGATTGTTCACGATTTTAAACGCGCTCTGGTTGTCGCAGTGCAAGCGAAAGGTCGGCGAAGTTGGAATGTTACCTCCCGCAAGAGCTCCTGTAGATACAGCCCTTCGCGAACTGATGCTATCGTGGCAATAAATTTTGCTTCCACCGATGACAAGGCAACCAATTCTTGCTTTTGCAAGATCCATGAGATGGGACCAGTCAGCTCGAGTCGGAACAAGAACCCGGTCCTCGATCGTCTATAGTCGGATCAGCGGCATGATCGGCATCCACGTAGCCGACGAGGTTGAATGAGGGAGTTGTGACTTTGGAGAAGCAGAGGCCAATATTGGGCATGGAGATGAAAAATTAAAGAGCGTGTTGAAGATCTAGCCAGCCGTTGGTTTGCGAGAGTACTGAGCCAGCTGGCTTGCGATGTAGGAGAGATCTGGCCTGTAGGTCACTGATGGAAAGAGCAGGCATCCCATTTGCTACTGGCATGTGTGAAGTTCTATGGGGGATAGGGCTTTGTAATCCATGCGTGCGGTAGGGAGTTGAGAGTGGTCCGGAGAAGATGTTGAGCCACTTCTCAAGTGTTTCCGCGTACTTAGCAGCTGAGAGGTGAATGGCTTCAAGGGTTTAAGAGATATTAAGGCCCAGGAACTGATTTACGTCGTGATTCGTGGTGATGTCGACTCGCATCGCCAAATTCTTCTCAAACTGGTCCACAAATGTGCCGTCCCTGTGTAGAGCAAATTATCCACGTACATTGTGAGCAGGATCTAATCACCGCAGAAGTGCGAGCGATGCATACTGGGTCGTGCGGTAGCTGCATAAATCTTATTTCGAGTAGGAATTTATGCAGGTGATGCTGCCAAAGCCTCGGCACTTGCTTAATCCTGTGAAAGGGTTTCTTTAGCTGACACATGCGCGGATCTCTCTCGTCGTAAGTGTGCGGCTGCCACAAAAATCACAGCATCCACTAGCGCATACAGAAAAGCGTTCTTCACATCGATTTGCCGGAGTGGTAGGTGCATTGCTGCGACAATTGTGAGTAGAATTCGCATGGAGGTATGGCGGTTGACGGGAGAAAAGGTTTGGTCGAAGTCTATGCCGTGCCTCTGGTCGTAGCAGCGCAAGACCCAGTGCGTTTAAAGCGATTGATAGTCCTGCCCAGTGCAATCTTCATACAGAAGGCCCATTTGGTCGAGAGAACCCACCCTCCTCTAATCGCTGCTTGGTCGACGAACACCCAAGTGTCGCGGGATTCTAGCGCTTTATTTTTTGCATCCGTAGCTGCGCGCCACTCCGGTCAGTGCTTGTCGCGGATTTTTTGGCTCGATGACACGCGGAGCCGTAGAGGTAGCTGTATGAAGTCCTAGCAGCTGCAGCCCGAAGATGGTGCTGTCGCAGCGATGTTGCGGGACGACCTCCTGCACGTCATCATCGCATTCAGATTCAGGCAAAGATGGTGGCGAGGGGTCCCTACTGCTTCTCCCCATAGGTCCCGGGGGCGACTTGTCGCTGTCGTCGTTGTCGTTGCTGCAGCGATCGATGTCCGGGAACTCGCTGCTGTTGTCCCGGTCTAGGATAGCCGCAACGACTTCATCTTCAGGGGTAGCGTAGTTTTGCCCGTCGTTCGCGTAAACCTGGTTTGCGCCTGCTTGCTTGTCCGTGCGTAACTGAGCAAGGTTGAGTCGCTCGTAGAAGATGACATTGCGTGCATGCATTACTTTGCTGCTGAGCAGGTCAAGGATGATCCTGGCTTTATTTGTAATTGATTCCGAGGTGAATGCTCAAGCGCGCGCGGCTCGTAAACTTTCCATTGGTTGAGGTAGGGGGGCAGCACTGCACCATGCACCTCCACATGCGGAGCATGGAGGTGTCGCCTTTCTTGCTTGCCTATTTCAAGTGCGGTGACATGTTCATCACAAAAATCCAGCGTCCGGAAAGCTGATGAAAAGAGTTGCTTTGGAGCTTTGTCAAATGATTTATAAACGTAGTGTTTCGAACGCTTTTTTGAGAAAGTATAGAGCGCTTTCCAAATGCTTTGTCGAACGTTTTTTAAATGCTTCTGCAATGCTTCTCTGTTCAAACCTACCAGGTGAAAACCTTCGGCAGAATTTTGGTTCGAGTTTCTGCAGAGCAATTTCGGAGATCGGATATCATTGCAATGTACTCTTTATGGACTTTGAGTTTCATTAAAATAAGCTTAGATTAGAGACTTGCAAGACGTTACATGTTTAAGAATATGCTTAGTTTCCTTATCCTTGCATTCAAAATAAACATAACAGAAGCTTAGGTAAAAGCATATTTTTCACACCTGAACATGCGCATAAAAAAGCATCCTAATCCCACCCCGACTAGTCAAACATACCGCTCGGTAGGTTGATATGCATCATCCTACAACCTGCTTCTCATGCTCCCGTACAGTATGTCTCCCACTCCACCCCAACTCTCGTGCTCTAGGCCGAGCGTGCCCCTGCGTCCACTGCTTCCTCGCATGTTCTACCCTCTCATGCGTCAGCTGCTCCGCCCCTGGCGCTCTCCAGTCATGCCTTCACTGCTCCTTGCTTTGTCCTCTCCATCCATGCCTAACCTGCTGCCCCCCTTGTGCCACTACCGTCTTTAATGCTGCCCCTTTTTCTCTATCCGCTCGTGCCTTTTCTGCTGTCCCCCTAGCTCTCTCCACTCATGCCTGTTCTGCTGCACCCCCTTGCTTTCTCCTCCAGTTGCCTCGCGTTTTGCCCCCCCTTGCACACTCCTCACATTGCATCTCCTGCTGCCCCCCATGCTGACTCCACTCTTTTGCCTCTCCTACTGCCCCCCATGCTGACTCCACTCTTTTGCCTCTCCTGCCCCCCATGTTGACTCCACTCTTTTGCCTCTCCTGCCCCCCATGTTGACTCCACTCTTTTGCCGTGGGGCTGCCTCCCATGCTGACTCCACTCTTTTGCCTCTCCTGCTGCCCCCCATGCTGACTCCACTCTTTTGCCTCTCTTGCTGCCCCCCATCCTGACTCCACCAATGCCTCTACATCCGTATTGATGTCTCCTCGCAAGTATGTGCTGCCTCTCCTGCTGCCCCCCTTTGTAAACTCCACTCATGCCTCATCTACTGCCCCCCTTGTCTTGTCACCCCACCTCTTGGCCCTCTTGCCTCCCCATATTTTGCCACTCTTGTGTCTTTTGCCCTTCCTCCGCCCCTGGCCCCCCTGCTTCTCATCCTCATCCTCATCATCTTCCTCCTCTTCCTCCTCTTCCTCCTCTTCCTCTTCCCTCCTGCCTCCCTTGCCTCTGCCTCTCTTGTGCGTTCTGCCCTTCCTCTGCTCACGCCCCCTCGGTTTCTCATCATCCTGCCCCTCCTCTTCCTTCTCCTCTTCCTCTTTCTCTTCCCTCCTGCCTCCCCTGATTTTCCCTCTCTTCTGCCTTCTGCCCTTCCTAAGCCCTTGCCCCCCCCGTTTCTCATCCTCCTCCTCCTCCTCTTCCTCCTCCTCCTCTTCCTCATCCCTCTTGCATCCCCTGATTTTGCATCTCTTGTGCCTTTTGCTCTGCCTCCGCTCCTGCCCCCACTATTTCTCCTCCTCCTCCTCCTCCTCCTCCTCCTCCTCCTCCTCCTCCTCCTCCTCCTCCTCCTCCTCCTCCTCCTCCTCCTCCTCTTCCTCCTCCTCCTCCTCCTCCTTCTCCTCGTCATCCGTCTCCATGTCCTCCCTATTGTACACCTCCTGCTCTTCCTCCTTCAGGTCCTTCCTCTCCTCATCAGGCTCGGCCGTCCCCTGGAACGCCTCAAATCCTGACTCGTGAACATACAGCCCACGGTCGCCCCATTTGAAGCCCTGCACGTCTGTGTTGTACACGGGGGTGTGGCATCTAAAGTGGTCTTTGATGATCCACCACACATTATGGTGCAAACCCGTCATCCATTCAGTGTTTTTCCGTGGGAGTTGGAGACGTTCAAGTCAGTCTTCTTAACCCCTGCCAAGCCCTGGTCTATCTGAAAAAGCATAGCAAGGTATGGGATGGAGGGGAAACAGAGACTTCAGTGAACATTCGCGTGCAGAGTTTACGGGCTGCGCAAATAGCCCCACATACCATGCTGGCGGGCTAGTAGAGCATGCCAAGCTAGAGCATACTGACAGTTGAGCAATAATGTCTTACTACCATGATTGACCAGGCTATGTGGTAGGCTTTGACGCACACCCGGCGCCCGACACAGAGATTCCAAAATGATTCCCGGACCGCATCTACAAATCGACCGTTGGCGAACGGGAGCCCTTCTCTGTTGTTCCCCCACGAGCTGACCCGCTGATTCCTTCCTGCCTACACGCATGACAATGCGTGGCAGCATGTGACATGCGTGATCATGCATGGCATGGTTAGGGGCTGTCCATAGGGTATGGATGAAGAAGAGGGCGGTATAGAATGAATGGAGGGAGGGCGGGAGGGCAGGAAAGAAGGGGAGGGCGGGAGAGAAGGGGTTTAGGGAGAGAAGGGGAGGGCGGGAGATTTCAGGAAGGGCGGGAGAGAAGGGGAGGGCGGGAGAGAAGGGGAGGGCGGGAGAGAAGAGGAGGGCGAAAGAGAAGGGGAGGGTGGTAGAGAAGGGGAGGGCGGTTGAGAAGGTGAGGGCGGGAGAGAAGGGGAGGGTGGTAGAGAAGGGGAGGGCGGTTGAGAAGGTGAGGGCGGGAGAGAAGGGGAGGGTGGTAGAGAAGGGGAGGGCGGGAGATTAAAGGGGGGGCGAGAGAGAAGGGTAGGGCGGGAGAGAAGGGGAGGGCGGTAGAGAAGGGGAGGGCGGGAGAGAAGGGGAGGGCGGGAGATTAAAGGGGGGGGGCGGGAGAGAAGGGTAGGGCGGGAGAGAAGGGGAGGGCGGGAGATTAAAGGGGGGGCGGGAGAAGGGGAGAGTGGGAGAAGAACCAACGTATTGCTGTCATGCGAATGTGTTTGCACATGCGCTACAAGCTTGGCCAAGGAGCTATGGTATGTAGTTGCGTGCTACCCGCCTCATTCACCGCACTTCATGGTATGTACTTCATCATCGTGGGGCATGCACGAGGGGTGCATGAGCAGACATGTCGATAGGGGAAGTAAAACAGCAACAGCAGTAAGTACTCACTCGGTTGGTATTTTTTCCACATCTTCTTCTTCTTGGTGCCCATCCAAAGATCGCGGGCACGCAGGCCTTCCACCTTCTTGCCGAAAGTTACGAGCACTCTGCGCTTGAGGTGGAAGCCACGATTGTTCTTCCATGACGTCCAAGCGCGTTTAAAGACGTCGACGATGTTTTTGTCCTCCATAGCCTCTTGCAGCTGCGTCATGTTGATGATGTGCGTCTCGCTGATAACTTGATACAAAACCTGAAGGCGCTGTTCGAGCGTTGGGTAGAAGTCTATGGCATCGTCTGGCCATTATAGGCACATCCGGTCCCGCCCCATGACGAAATGAACCTATGACGGACAGGTGGATTGGAAAAGTAAAATCGAATTATGCCTCCGAATGAAGGGTGGAATTCTGAGGTTGAGAGAGAGGGCTGTTGCTATCACTGCACCGCATGCCACCCACACCAACAACAGCACCATGAACAGGAGCTCTGGTTGAGGTAAGGGAGTGATGGGAGAGAGAGGGGGGAGAGAGGGGATGAAATCGTCCGAGTGAAATCATATGGGAGAGGGGGGCAGAGTGTGAGAGCACCGTACGCCCAGCGTTGTTGTTCATGTTTTCCTCTTACTAGGAGTCACAACCCCCTCTGCAGCCCGGCCCGCTACACGCTGCGCCGCATGCCACACGCGCGACCAGCAGCACCGTTTAGAGGGGCTCTGGAAGAGGAGGGAGAGGGATGGGATAGAGAGGGGAGGGGGGAGTGGCGGAAAGAAGGGGTTGGGCGCGTGGGGTTGACACCGAGGGCTGCTGCTATCTCTGCGCCGCATGCTCCCGCATGAGACCAGCAGCACCGTTGGAGGAGCTCTGGAAGAGGAGGGAGAGGGATGGGATAGAGAGGGAAGGGGGGAGCGGTGGAAAGAAGGGTTTGGGCGCGTGGGGTTGACAGCGAGGGCTGCTGCTATCTCTGCGCCGCATGCCCCCGCATGAGACCAGCAACACCGTTTGGAGGGGCTCTGGAAGAGGAGGGAGAGGGATGGGATAGAGAGGGGAGAGGGGAGCGGCGGAAAGAAGGGGTTGGGTGCGTGGGGTTGACAGCGAGGGCTGCTGCTATCTCTGCGCCGCACGCCCCCCGCATGAGACCAGCAGCAGTGTTTGGAGGGGCTCTGGAAGAGGAGGGAGAGGGATGGGATAGAGAGGGGAGGGGGGAGCGGCGGAAAGAAGGGGTTGGGCGCGTGGGGTTGACAGCAAGGGCTGCTGCTATCTCTGAGCCGCATGCCCCCGCATGAGACCAGCAGCACCGTTTGGAGGGGCTCTGGAAGAGGAGGGAGAGGGATGGGATAGAGAGGGGAGCTAGGAGAGGTGGGGCAAAGTGTGAGAGTATCGTACCCTCAGCGCCACCTCCCTAAAGCAAGGCGTACTGGGAGTGCCTATCCCACTGTGGCCATGGCGCTTTCACTGCGCATAATGCCACAAACACGCTGACCAGCAGGAAGAGGTTGGGGAAACTTGGGGTTGAGAGAGAGAGCTGCAACTATCACTGAGTCCCATGCCACCCATTGCATAACACTAAAACATACTCACCTTCAGCAGCTTGGGTGTGGGCATCCCACCCGTTCGACGGACCGGTACGTCGACCGTCGCTAGACTTTCTGGCGCCATGCCTGGATCGAGGCCCCCTGCAGATGGGCCGCTTGACAGAGACGCTAGAGGAGGAGGCCTAGATGGAGGGGTGCAGGGTTTGACAGGTCCTTTGGAACCTGCCCGTGCCTTGAGTGCAGCAATTTTGCGATCCCGCTGGGCAAGCTCTCGCATGAGCTGCTCCACAATCTTGCGGCCACCCAAATCGGGCCGACTGGATGCGCCAGGTGTACCCATGCTCTCTCCCCTCCCCTCCTTAGTCGCCGGATCCATTTTCGCGTCTCCTCCTTCTCCCCTGCTCTCCCGTACATCCCACATGGAGCCTTCCACACCGCCGCCACATTCACCCAAGGCATTCGCCCACACACCTCCTCCCACACCGTCATTGGTTGCTGCAGCGGCAGAGGGTTCGTGCCGCTTCGTCGCCCCTTCAATTTTCACATGAACCGAGTGACCCCCCGTATGCTTGGGGGGCGGGTCTGTCGCTTCCCTGCGAAACCGCGCTGACCCCCAAGCCATCGGATCTCCCTTCCCAGCAAAATCCATCGGCTCGCGTAACGCAGCGTACGGGTCCGCGGCGTTTTGATCGTGAGAGCTTGATCGACATCGTAACCCCATGGACTCATAAAAATCCAACTCCCGCCTCGCCTTGCTACGCACACCCACAATTTTAGCTTCGAATCGAGGTCTCTGGCGCTTGCCATGTGGTTTCGCACGACGCACACCCGGTTTGCAGCTCTTCACCCGTCCCCTCCCTGATTTTCACTCTCCGTTGCCCTTCTTGGGCTTCCGCACACTCGTCTTCAAAGGCCGAGCCTTCTCTTCATCCTCGCTCTCCGGCTCCAACTCCTCGTCCTCCTCCTCTTTCTCCTCCTCCTCGTCCTCGTATACTTCCTCACTCCCGGATGAGCTGCCTTACTCGCTGTCGCTGGATTCCTCTTCCGAACCCAACAAGCTCGAAACATACTGTTTTGGGCCTTGTCAAGCTTGTCTTGCATTATGGTCATGACCGGCCGAGTCCACAGCCTTGCGTCGTTTGCAAGGAATCACAACTTCACATCCGTTCTCTTTCCCATAAGTCACTGCTGCTGGCTCGTCCTCATCATGATCGTTACCGCCACGGCATTCATGCTCGGCATGTTCCTGCTCGTCGCCACCAGTCACATCCTGCGCGTGCTTGCCCGAGGGACTGCCCTTTGCCGCCGCAGCCATGCCGCCGTTGCGCTTTCCACCACCGCTAACTTCAAACTCGGCATGTTCCTGCTCATCGCCACCAGTCACATCCTGCGCGTGCCTGCCCGAGGGACTGCCCTTTGCCGCCGCAACCCTGCCGCCGTTGCGCTTTCCACCACCGCGGACTTCATGCTCGGCATGTTCCTGCTCGTCGCCACCAGTCACATCCTGCGCGTGCCTGCCCGAGGGACTGCCCTTTGCCGCCGCAGCCCTGCCGCCGTTGCGCTTTCCACCACCGCTAACTTCATGCTTGGCATGTTCCTGCTCGTCGCCACCAGTCACATCCTGCGTGTGCCTGCCCGAGGGACTGCCCTTTGCCGCCACAGCCCTGCCGCCGTTGCGCTTTCCACCACTGCGGACTTCATGCTCGGCATGTTCCTGCTCGTCGCCACCAGTCACATCCTGCGCGTGCCTGCCCGAGGGACTGCCCTTTGCCGCCGCAGCCTTGCCGCCGTTGCGCTTTCCACCACCGCGTTGGCCTGCGCGCTTGCCTGGCAACCCAGATGAGAAGGCGGACATTACAGGTACATTAGATACACTGTGCAAGTTTAACTTATACTGTGCAATATGCGGCAACGTTGTAATGTGTAACGTGAATGTTAGAAACCGTCGAGATCACACCCACAGCGTACCTAAGCTGACAGGTCCCCCGTCCTTGTCCTCCTCGTTGCCTTCAGACGCAGTAGTTTTCTCACGATGTGGACGAGTGCCGATTTTTCTTGAACGGTGCCTACGTCCCCCCCCCCGGTTGTGACGCTTGTCCGCTGACACTGCTGTGAAAACACAATTGGAGAGACAGTGTAGGCTAAAAATCAGACATGACTGCAAGCATCGTTTAATGCATCTAGCTGTGATACAACTTTATACACGTCGAATAATCAGCATCTGATACCATAATCACGTACCTTTCTGGCCGGCTATGGGAACGAGATCATCCAAGCGCTTCACACGCTTATCCCTTGGTTTCGGAAGGGATGATACGCCCTTGTTTGCGTATGGCTCAACATTGCAGTCGCTGTTCGATTCGTCACCGGATAAGGAGTCACGTCCAGACTCGACTACTTCTCGCGCCGACGACGCATAATTTTTGCGATACTTGCTTACGATCTCGGCGGTCTTATCTGCTATTACTAATTCGGCATATATTTTTTTCATCGGGCGATTTAGACAAATCAGCGAGTATGATCACCCCATCGAGCCCCTTCATTTTTTGACTACCCATTACGATGTCTAGCTTTCCATTTATGCAGTATTCTGAGGTGGCGAGTCGTTATTCCTTTAGGAACCTGACAGACAAGCTTCGGGCACTAAGCATTGGTTGAGCAAAAATAGGGATGAGGCAAAGGCATGGGGCATAGAGCAGACGATTGTCACAGATGCAGGCACGCAAGGAGAGCTCGGAGGTGATGAGACTTTGAGTGTTTCCTCGTCTGGTGTACGTTGCGAGTCGCAACAGCCAGGTCCCCCGTTTCCGCCAACAACCAATTGCGTGGTGGTTGACGTGTATAACAAAAAAATTTGATGAACTGCATTGGCAAGATTCAGTGGGAGCGTGCATGCTTAATTGAGTATCCGTCAATGAGCGGCAAGGTGCGTAACTTCTGTTTAACGTGGCGGTCAAATGCGTCAGTGTATCTGGGTTTGCGAGAGTCATACTGTTTACAATAACTTTTGTTTAACGTGGCGGTCAAATGCGCGAGTGTATTTACTCTGCCCGCACGGTCATACTGTTTACAATGAATGCTTTGCGTGCCACACGAACCTTCACAAGCGTCACGTCAAGAGTCACATAGCCACTGCGGAGAAACGGCGACGCACGATCGCAACAATTTGTACAGCAATGCGACAGGACCACACGAAGCCGTTGTGGAACGTCTGCGATAAAAACGCAGACTCTTGAGTTACTTGTGTGTGGTTGCGATTGGGTCGCAAGTCGGTGAGATTCGCGTACGTGGCATAGCGCCGAGGTGAGTGGAATAGCGCAGGGCGGGGCACGTAAGGACACACTGCTTTGCAAAGCATCAATAGTGTGGTGTACGGACATGATAAAAATTACTATCAAAGGGTTGTGTAGTCAACAAAACCCATTTGCATACTGACAAGTATGCAGCATAACAGTGTAAGACCTGACACCTCCTTGACAGAACATGCCCATAGCAGTTTGATGTAGAGCAGTTACGCTGATACATCGATTGATTAGTAAGTAGGGTCTATTTAATTGCTGTCATGTCGTCGTGATGCAACTAACTGCCTCATCACAACTCGAGAGGTATCGGTATGTCATTTGAGGTGCAAAATCACTAGAGCCAGAGACGAACTCCCGTTCTAGGGCTTGTTTGCTCTCATGTCATACACAGGGCAGCCGGTATGCAGTGATAAAAATTACTGGCAAAGGGTTGTGGAGTCTACAAAACCCATTTGCATACTGGCAAGTATGCAACATAACAGTGTAAAACCTGACACCTCCTTGACAGAAGATGCCCATAAGAGTTTGATGTAGAGCACTCACGCTGATACATCGATTGATAAGTAAGTAGGGTCTATTTAATTGTTGTCATGTTGTCGTGATGCAACTAACTGCCTCATCACAACTCGAGAGGTATCGGTATGTCATTTGAGGTGCAAAATCACTAGAGCCAGATACGAAATCCCGTTCTAGGGCTTGTTTGCTCTCATGTCATACACAAGGCAGCCGGTATGCAGTGATAAAAATTACTAGCAAAGGGTTGTGGAGTCTACAAAACCCATTTGCATACTGACAGTATCCAACATAACAGTGTAAAATCTGACACCTCCTTGACAGAACATGCCCATAACAGTTTGATGTAGAGCACTCACGCTGATACATCGATTGATTAGTAAGTAGGGTCTATTTAATTGCTGTCGTGTTGTCGTGATGCAACTAGCTGCCTCATCACAACTCGAGAGCTATCGGTATGTCATTCGAGGTGCAAAATCGCTAGAGCCAGACACGAACTCCCCTTCTGGGGCTTGTCTGCTCTCATGTCATACAAGGCAGCCGGTATGCAGTGACCTAAGAGCTTGCTATGTTGTATGTGCTTGTTTCATGCTGGAAAGGAGGTGAGAAACACATGCTGTTCGGTCACAAGAGGTGTAGTGACTAGGAAGACCGTTTTGCAGCATCACTCTGACGCATCGTGTGTTGTTGGTAGACATGTCAATATGGACTGGCAGTGACAAACACATCCCTATGGGTAGTGTTCTCTAGTCATGCAGGACTGGAAGTGACGAACACTCCCCTATTGGCCACACTTGTTGTCTCCTCATGCAGGACTGATTCGAAGCCTCTCCCTTGCTTTTTGTGTCTTGCTTGTAGGCATGTCAAGCTGGTAGGACGGAGGGACAGACAGTTTTCCCTATTGCTCTTGTTGTCATCCCCCCATGCTACTCGCTTCGTTGTTATTCGCTCACCAACTTGTTCCTCCCACTTACCCACCTCATTCCCTCCTGCTTCTCGCCTCATTCCCTCCTGCTTCTCACCTCATTCCCTATTGCTTCCCGCCCCACACCCCTTAGCTACCCGCCGCTTCCCTCTTCGCACACCGCCTCGTTCCCCCCACAGACATGCCAAATCCCCTTCAGCTTCCCGCCTCATCCGCCCTCGTTCACTGCCTCCTCCCCCCTTGCTACCCGCCTCATCCACCCTTGCTCGCTGCCTCATTCCCCCTTGCTACCCCCTAATTCCCCCTTGCTATCCGCCTCATTCCCCCTTGCCACCCGCCTCATTCCCCCTTGCACCCTGCCTCATCCCCCCACTCTACCCGTCTCATTCCCCCTCGATACCCACCTCATTCCCCCTTGCTACCCACCCCATTCGCCCTTGCTACCCGCCTCATCCCCATTCGCTCACCTGCTCATTCTCCCATTCAGGACTCGCCTCAAACCCACCATTTCAACCCTCCTCAATCCCCTTTGCACCGCCCCTCACCCACCCCTGTGGTTCCCGCATTATACGAATGTTCCCGGCCCATTACCAGCTTTTCACCGCCTCATGCACCACCTCCAACCTCCACCATCGTCTTTGCTAAAAAATACACAGACCACTTCCTCAAATCGCGACGGTACTGACGGCGCCAGTTGAGTGGCGTCCCCACAAGCTCACACGCCGGTAGTTTGTGGAAACCATCCTCGACCAATGTGTGCATCATACGCATCGTAAACACACCACAGTCGTTCTCATTGGCCTGCATTGGAATCTGGAAAAACATAGGGTCAATGATGGCGTGGTAAGGCCCCGTACAGGATTGCGGTTTCGGTATGGAAAAAGCGACGCTAAAAAGAGAGATGCGATTGTTTCGAAGCTCGTACAAACAAGGCAATAGCGCACAACTTGATCTGCCGTAGCGGGATGCTCGCAGCCCATGCATCTGCGTCCGAATCAATGATCCATGCACATCATCTTATCACCTCGTTTCGTAAGTACCTGCACATCTGGAGTCATTGTTTCAATAATCTCGTCACCCCGACCTTCTGTACGAGACAATAGTAGACTGCCATTTACGAGAGAGTACCTGCGCAACGGGGCGTTAAAACCGGCATGGGTACTGTACGAGTCAGCGTGCCAGAGCACGCAGTTCATGGGAGTCGGGTCATCGGGTCTGGGGATGATCTCGATCACAATCAGGCTCCAGTGACTCCTAAGGCATACATGAGATCTACCATCAGTAACTCCAACTTTATACTACTGAATCACAGATGGTGCAACTGCTAGATGCGACGAGTACTCACTCAGTGTTTATCGGAACGAGTAGATATGTGTAATCAAAAATACCCAATCCGAAAGTATAGGCGTTTTCACGCCTCGAGGTGTTCTTCTTAGCGTAGTCCCAGAAATATGATCCACTAAAAAGCCATTTGTTGCGGTTGCGACCGTGTTTGTAGTGCAGCATCCTGCGCATGTGCATAATTACGCCAAATGAAACGCATGAAAGAACCGTGACGAATCGGTCTAATGATGGCGTAATTTCCGCCGCCGTGAGTTGGCGAGTGCGGATGGCGCTGGGGCAGCGAGCATCGGCCGTGGATATGGTCGAGGAAGAGGTAGAGGACGAGGGGGAGGAAGGTTTGGTGGCAGCAACTTCGGCGGAGGCCGCGGGAGTGGCGGTTACGGCAGCGACGACAAGAGCTACGGACGCGGTCGCGGAAGATTCGACGGCGAGTGTCACTATTGCCACAAGAGCGGACACATGTGGCACGACTGCTACAAACTCCCTGATGGTTGGACCCCTGCTCAAGGCCAAGAGGGTAGAGGAGCAGGAGGAGGGAGAGGAAGAGGCCGTGGAGGCCGTGGCGGTCGCGGTGGCGGAGCTGCAAACATGAAGAGCGGAGACAACGACAAGGACCCGAGCAACGATCGGTACCCGGGTCTATTCTACTTCGTGTCGACGCAAGTACCGACTGATCCACAGAAGGATGAAGGCTTTGAGGAGCCAGCAGCTGTGGGGAAGGTGAATCTAAACCCTCTAGACTATTGGGTGATCGATAGT